GGCAGAACCCTAATTTTTCAGAATGACAAGGGGCTGTGTTTGTCCTAAGGGCGCTGTTTATGTGTTTAAGTGTTACCAGGATGCACACAGAACTCATTCTGTGTTGATTTGTGAAGGCTCTGTGTGCCTAGGTGTAGACCCTTGCATGTGCATTTAGCTTTACCAAACTACCCAGGGAGATGACCCTCTCAGCTGCAGTGTAGGTGAGGGTCTGTAATCACTAATCTAAATGCTGGTAAGGGGAGAGAGAGGGAGCAACAGCTGCTGCTCTGTCTTGGTAATTAACTGTTGTAGAAATCTAAGTAATTATGCTTTTTGAGTGATGTAAGTTCCGCACCAGACAATTGTAAAATGTCATTTTTCAGTAGCTTTACAGACACATCTACTTTTGAAGTGAACTCAGTAACACAACTTAACTTAGAATATCTTTAAGCTGCCAGAATGTCAAGTAGCTGTCAAGCATTTCAGAAAGCTACAGGAGATCAATGATGTTAAATAAAGAAATGCTGTCTCAAACCCAAACAATAAAACATTGGCAAGCAACCTTTTATAAAGAAAAATGAAAATTAGTTTGCTGATTTTTTTTTTTTTTTAATTATTGCTACTAACCCAGCTGAGAGAAAAACAGAAAGTGCATACACTGAATTTTTGCAAAATTCTTTGGTATGCTTTTTACATCTTAGCATATAAGTCAATTGGATTTTTAAGAGGGATTATGTCATAAGAAGTACCTGTCTGAAATTATTATATACAAATCCTATTTTGTTTAAACTTGTTGTCCAGCAATATCAAGGTATTCAAATTTGGTTTAGAAATATGCTTACTATAATTTCTATCAGCAACATACTTAACATATTTTCAAATATATTTTCAGAAAATTTCTTGGATGTATAAACCATAAAAAAATCCAGGCCACTAATAGAAACTGTGAAGTGACGGCTGATGTGAGACATGATGGGTCTGAACCACTTGTAGATGTTATGTTTGGTAAGGAGCTAATTTTTAATCTTGACAAAAAAAAAAAACAAAACCAAAAGACCTTGGGGGTTTGTGGTGTTACAATGTTATTCTTTTTATGATTCTTTTACTGTGGTTACTTTTTTTTGTTCTGGTCCATAGCTAGATGTTGTGCAGCTGGGAGGAAAAAAGGAAGAGAGAGTCACTAACAGTCTGATGTCTAGATAAATGTGTATGTATGTCTTTGTACTACAGTTAGATCTGGTGGATCTTAGATCAAAGAACTAACTTAACTTTAGGGTTGAGTCTGTTTTTGTAGTGATATACCTGTGTGACCTTGCAATCAGGTACAATTGCAGGGAAGTAAGCATAACTCTACTTTGATGTAAGAATCTGTTCACTTTCTGTAATTTTTTACTGTTACGTGTGGTGGAGGCATCTCAGTCTTGAGAACAGAGAAGTTGAATACCTTTAGTTGCTTATGCAACTGAGTAACTTACTAGGCAGTTTGAAGGAACTGCTCATATGGATAAGACCATGTATGTGCAGATGGACTTGCAGAATGAGGTCAACTGATGTACGACAAATTTTGTGGTTTCCTTTGAGGGTATAGTGAGCAGGCAGGGAATTGATGGTGGAAATTTCATCAGTTATGGAAACGGCCCAGATTTTAGGCTGTAAACAGATGGCTATAATCTGCTTTTGTCCTTTTCTCTGGCTGCATCTTCTTTCCTGCTGTGCTGTAATGGAACAATATGTCATGTGGCCCATTAAAGTTTTCATTATTGTTCCTTCTTGCTACCCCCTTTTCTTTAAACTTCCATATACTTAGTGAATCGATAGAAATGTCAAGAGTGTTGAATGAACTTCATTTTGCTTAGGAAAGTCTAGTTATTTCAGTGTTGACATTGCTTGCTTCTCCTTCCCCCGTGCTTCTGTCTTTCGTATCCTTGTCTCTAACTGTGATGTATTAAGACTCAAGCAGTAAAGCTTAATGTTTTTCACAATGTAAACCCGAAACAATTTATTTCACTAATGCCAAGAGCTACAGTTACTTTTTGTTTTCTAAGAGCTGATTATTTTCCAAGTGAAGAGTTTGCAGCCCTCGTACTTGGCAAACATGGGGCTGGAACTTGGATGCCATGCATCGTATTGCATTATATGGGTTTGAGTATAGCTTTTGTGTTTCCAAATTTTGCAAAAATAAATAATTAACTTAGGTACAATACTTAATTTCTACTATTTTCTCCCTCTTTTAAAATACTTTCTTTCAGAATTTTGGAAATCCTAGTGCTCTCTATTTTTTTTTGCATTACCACCACCAGATTGTGTAAACCCGTTTGTTGTTTTGGCTGAAGAAATAAGATAAACGGACCATAGACAACATGCTGCTAAAATGCTGAGCCATGTGTGGAAATTATGCCTTCTAGTGCCTTCTGTGCCTTCTGTTAGATGACTTTGAGAGCATAGTACAAGCCATTCTTATCAAATATGTGTTCTTACTGTAGGTATATCTGGACAAACGTTTCAGATTTTTCAATAACGCAATACAGAAGTGAAAAATACATGCGTATTGTGTGTAGTTTAATGTATTTGTTTGGTGGTGGTGCATAATCAGATTCCTTGGTAAGTGGAGTATTTTCCGATCAGACAAGATGAACAGGGTATTTGGATTTATATGTACAAAACAGAAGTGCGTACTGAAGTAATTGTGACTTAGACTTCGTGACTTCTTAAATTTTTTTTTCCCTTTACAGCTGATGGAGAGCGATTGATAATGAAGGGAGCCAACTTGACAACAATAGAAATGTTGACAGCATTGGGGTCCAGATGTAGTGCAAAGGAGCTTAAGGAAGAACAGAAAAGCAAGAAGAAGAGTCTCTGAAGAACAAAAAAACAACTGTGTTTGCATTTACATGTGTTAAAAACAACAGGGTGCACAGCAGGCTTTTCTCCTATAGAATAAAATCTGAAAGAGAGATAGCCAAAACACTGACCAGTTTAACATGCAGCAGAACGAACCATTTAAATGTTCCCTGTCTTCACCTGAAGGAAAACATAGTGGATCAACAAATCTTCTAACACTAGTGGGTCAGAGTGGCTTAAGATACATGAATGTGTCTTTCTAAGCAGCTGCCTCTCAGTCGTCTGCATGTCGGACTAATATCGTGTATTTGCATATAAATGTGAATAATGCACATTAGCTAGTAAATTAATATTACAGTGAAGACAGATCTCTTTGGACATTATTTCCTACAAAATTTCTATACAGTGGAATGCAAAGCATTATTAGCGTCATTATTTTTGAAAATTATTAAATACAAATATTTGAAAAGAACTTTGAAAGTATTCATCGTTGACCTAGCTGAGGGGCAGCAAGCTGCAAATACAGAGTCCATTTTGTAGCACTATGTTTATTATACATCTATTCCTAAGTCCCTGCCATTTTATTCCTCTTTTTCAAGAAAGTGTGAAATTTGCTAAATGTAAATTTAGCTCACCAATTAAAGTAACAAGGTAATGGGAGTGTGAACACACAGTAGAACTACTCATCCTGCATAAAAGTAGCTAAGTTTAGCTCAAAGGGTAAGGTAAGTTAGGTTTTTTGATAATTGGAGGAAAGGGCTGTCTTTGAAGTTCAGTTTTGTAATATTTTTGTCACTCACTTTTGAGAGATTTTATTAAATATTTTGTAAAGATCAAAGGGAGAGCTTTATTTGGTGTTTATAGCCCTATGTCCAACCCTATTATTTATTAAAGTAAGTGCTTAGGTGTCTCATCTGTATTGCAAAGCTCTGTGGGTTTGGGAGGGTTGATCTCTCCTCAGGCTGTGCAGGTGAAGGTGTCAACTGCACACGTATTTCATGTGCATCAGTTTTTGTCTAGTTCAATTCATAATAAAAATGTAATTAAAGTTCCAGTTTTGAGAATTGCAGGCGCAGTACTATTGCGAGGCGTTAGTTCTACTATGCCTGACTTCTGTAAAATTGTAGTGCATATATTTCCAAAGTTATTTTGGCAGCAGATGTAGGGCACAAATCTGAAACTAGTTTTACCTTACTTGTGCCGAGATTTGTAAATGGATGCTGTCCTTTCTGAAAGCAATATTGTTTTAAATAGCACTGTCAAGGTAGTTCTTTGCAACTTTCTTCATCAGGATGCTGAAGATAAGGTGATACCTTATGTTGGAGGAGCAGAGCTGTGCTAAAGATGTTTGATGATGTTGTATGGTGTCCTTCTCCATGCGTTTGCAACAAATAGAAGAGAGTGAGATAAGATGGGTCAGTAAGTGGGGACAGATGGGTCAATGAAATTTAGGAGTAGGAACAATAGATGTAAATGACTTAGTCTGGGATGAATACCTTAGATTAGATATTAGGAAGAAATTCTTTACTCTGAGGGTGGTGAGGCACTGGAACAGGTTGCCCAGAGAAGTTGTAGATGTCCCATCCCTGGAAGTATTCAAGGCCAGGCTGGATGGGGCTTTGAGCAACCTGGTCTGGTGGGAGGTGTCCCTGCCCATTGCAGGGGGTTGGAACGTGATGATCTTTAAGGTCCCTTCCAACCTAAACCATTCTATGATTTTCTGCACCCTGTTATGCTATTTTTTTATTAGGCCACCAACTCTTCCGAGTGGTTTCAGAGTGCTGAGCTCCTGAGCCTGCTACTGAGCTCCCTTCTAGTGGAGGAGTTACAAGAACATCTGAAACTGAGGGGATTTTAAGTCCTGTCAAGCTACAGGAGTATCCTAAAAAGTGAACTAAATAGAAATAAGGCTGTCCAAAGAACAGTTTTGATTTCCTTTTTTCCCCCCACCAGTTTAGAAGAACATCATGTAGCATGACTTAACCTGAAGAAGCCTTACAGGGAAAGTGAGAATTGTTCAAGTGGAAAAACACTGCAGAATTAGTCATTTATGCTCCAAGGCCCAGTTATTGTAATACATCAGTGATTTTTTTTTTTTTTAGGTTTTTTTTTTGACTGTTTGTACAATCATGTTGGTGTGTAAAACTTGTGTTTAAATGTGAAGCACTTATATCCATCTTAAATAATTAGCCATCTGCAAGTAAAATTTAAAGAGTTTAAATTTGAAGAGTTAAACAGGTGTTAAGCAATTTAAGTTTCTATATTGTTTCTATTGGCCCAAGACTGGGGTTTATATTTATGAAGAGAAAAGGGAGAAAATTGAAGATCCTAGTTCAGGCTTTTTATAGCCAAAATAAATCCTCTCCACTGTTGAAAAAAGGTGATTTTTTTTTTTTTCCTTTACTCACATGGATAGGCATCCTGCTCTGTAAAGACATGCTCTTACTAGGTGCTTTCATTTTAACCCAGAGATGCCCAACCTTTTTGCTTCAGTTAGGCCAAAGGCCTGTGACGTAGTCATTGAGAGATGACTGACAATTCGGTGGATGTGGTGCTGGCTGTGGCTGCTTTTGCAGTGGTAAAACTCTGATATGTTTTGTGCATGAAAAAGTAGTAATGACTCGGATTTGAATATGTAAGGCATAAAGGAATACATACAGGACAGAAAAATAAAGCTAAAAATTTGCATTCTCAAGACTACAAGGTACTGAACTGATAGAAACAAGCAATATGGGCGAGGAGGTACTCCTCTGCTGATTATTATGCTAATATGTAGAAAATTGCTCTCCCTGTACCATGTAGATAAAGGTACGAATTTATTTTTCAAGACTGTTAAAGATAATCTTTAATGAATTTCTTCTCTAAGCATTTAGATAACTTTGCTGCGAGCTGTTCGTACGGTATCAATTTCTGCTGCTGGCTGATTGAAACAAAGCCGAGCGACCTGCTGCTCTGACATCTTCCTGACGTGCACAGTCTGCGGCTGTGGCTGTAAAGGGTATTAAGGTCAGTCATGCAGAACAAAGCAGGGCTGGGTGAGCATTGACTTTGCATGTTATTATTCTGTAGCCCACTAATCTTGATTACTGTACCCCACCAAAAATGTGGGCACTTGCCTAAATATAAAAGGAACTGGAACAGGCCCTAAAAACACTAGAATTAACTAAATACAAACACTGCATCCGTGTAGGGTGTCTGATAGCAGGTGATGACATTAAAATGTCTTGATCTCTAAAATACCTGGGGATTTAGAACAATGATTAGAATCATCTTAGACCTGTTTATTGTACAAATACCTATTTATTTAGAAGTTCTTATCAATGCATAGAGAAAGTAGTCCTGAAACAGATGGCTGTGCCATTCAGATAACACTAGCCGCTCAGGGTACTCCCTTTATAAATATCTACAGCATTGCTTTTAGAAAAATATAGTGGTAACTTTATTAAAGATTTCAACCGGGAACAGCAGTGTTAGTGTACATTTCCACAGCAAGTTTTAACTGCTTGCTGGCCCAAATAAGTAAAAAATTGCAATGTCCCGATGCCTTTTTTGCAAGGTAGAAACAAGTGAAACGTGCTGTCAGAGGTAGTTCACGCACATCGGTGCAAATTCTCGTCTTTGTTATTTGTGGGGATTTCTGTTTCGGCAATTTTGTGCTACACGTTGTAGGAAAAACTGGGTGCAATACAGTATTTTTGTGCAAACCCCACTTGAGGAGTGGAAGGTACTTTAAATCTCAATTTTTTTGAAAGTGTTGCAATCTAATATGTTTTTGCTGTTTGTGAACGTGCAAGAAGTGTCATCTACTAGTTTCAGAAAATTGCCCACAAGTATTTGCCCTGTTGGATGTGGAAGAATACATTAGTTTTGATCGGCTTTTCATAGTTCTTCACCTTGACTATATATGAATTTTGAATGACCAAGGAGTTTATATGGTGTAAGGAAGCCAAAAAAAAAAAAAAAATTAAATGTCTTAGGACTGTATTTACCAGTTCTCAAGACTTTTGCTCCCTAGTGTATCTTCTGCATGCATACTGTCCCTATGCAGGTGTACACACCCCTTGTGGTTTAAGAATTGCTGGCTGCCCGCCACTCAACTGCATGTGCAACCAGTTTCCCTGGATGCCAGACCCTGCTTCTCCACGGGGTGGTTTGGAGTCACCTTCAGACTGACAGGTCACCTGTCAGCAGTGCCTCTCTCAACTGCACTTCCCTGCTCCTTCTCCTTCTCCTGGCATAATAGCCTTTTCCTTCCTGGTACTGTTTGATCTCACCCAGTCTCACGTTTTCCCCCTGGAAGGCCTGAGTCACTCTTCTGAGCCTTTTTTATTGTCTGCCAGGAGTTTGCAGTAGCTTCAAGCAGCCAAGGTGCTTTGCTCCTGGTAGGCCACTACTTGTTCTCCCCGCTCAACCTCGCTCCGTATGCCGAGAAACGTTGGGACAGAGCAGCACGAATGGGTAGAGGTGCTACTTTGCTTCTCATTGTCTTTAACTTAACAACAAATCGTCTTTACATTGAGCTGGGCTTCCCAAAATTTTACAAAACTAAGGCTGTGCCCAGGGATGATGGTGGATGGTGTGAGGGCAAAGGAGTTGCTGACCTGTTTTGATCATGTCTTGTTAAGTTTCAAAGTGGTACTTAAAAGCAGAGTTAAGGCGAGAGTAGAGACTCTGCTTGACTTAAAGCGGTCTCCTACGTACTAGCAGTGTTGCCAGCAGAGGTCAATAGCATATCAAAGGAGATCTCTGCATTGTGCTTCCCTGGGTGAGGCGAGTTTGACTTGCTTACGTAGGAAAATATCTTTTCTTTTAATACAAAATAGCTGGAAAAGTGCACCAGCGACCGGTTTGTGAAAGGGAATGCTCAGTCAGTAGGAGCAAAGCCTGGGAAAGAAGAGTCCTTCATGGACAGGTTTTCATGACTCAGGCTGGTAGTCCCTGCAGGAAGTTCAGAGGACAGGCAGGAGGCAAAGCAACAGGTTCCTTCCCTACTCAGGCACTGCTTTC